GTTTCTATGTGTGTGTGTGTGTGTGTGTGTGTGTGTGTGTGTGCGTGTGTGTGTGTGTGTGCGTGTGTGGGGATTTAATTTTAAAAAACAACTGACCTTTGGTCTCAAATGCAGGAGGGACAGTTAGTTGGCACATAAACCAAAAAAAATAAACCTTTTTTTTTGAAAGATAAATCAAAATTGCGTTGATCCCAAAATATTGTCAAGCATTTTGAAGGAAAATATTACTTTAATACATATCTTTATTATGATCAAATAAAGATATGTGTGATATCATCGATTTACATCGAAAGGGTTTTTATTCAGTATGAAATATACACTTAAATACATTAGTTTTGCGTTTTTATCCTTTAAAAAATATTCAATTTTGACGTTTTTGTAATTGCATTTTTCATTAAAAATATATTCAGAATATTTGTTGATATGATTTCGAAAAAATAAGAAGCGTTTCCGATGAAATCACATCAGATAATTCGCTAGAATTACAAATCTATAAATATTACCTAAAAAAGCAAAAAACAATTTTCTGATGAATAAAATTATCAGGAAGTAAAATGAATGTTAACATAGCACAACAATAAATCCTTACAATCACCAGTTATCGTTCCTCAATTATCAACCCTCCTTTCAAGCATGCCATGAAATGCCTTAAGTATTTTTAACCGCAAATTTCTCAACGCGTTGTTTCTTTTTCAAATTAAATGCTTTCAGTAATATTCCGATCAACAATGATTTTTAGCATGCAATCATAGCACACCATTTTTGTTTAATTAAAAGATTAAAAATTAAGGATAACTAGTCATTCCTAACATAATAAACATAGTGGGATAGGAAAGTTCCTTAAAACCTGAGTAATGTAAGTATAAGTATAGAAGATAAAAAGTACACAAATTAGAATAAACAATTTCAATATTTCCATCTTATGAAGTTGTTCTATCACGCATTTGCATTTTATTTACCTTAGAAAGTCTCACATTTCTTCATTTATCGTTCAGTCTTATTTCGTTAATTTGGACTTCGTATTCACTAGACTTTTTGCTTGTAAAATGTTAAACAGATTTAATGTTCTGCAAGTTTTTAAAATTTCAAGGTTTTTCATCAGCAAACTATTTTAAGCTATTTTAAGAAATTTTTTTTCGCAAGAAATGTATCCACTAACAACTGACAGCAGCCGCTCAACATCGGACCATTGGTGAGACACTCAACATGAATTTCGCGAATTCTGAAATATGAAGAGTGTTGCGTTTACGATCTTCGGCTGACTTTGCGACAGCAAATAACTGACTAGTGGACATGATGAGAAATAACTGAAAACGAAGAATGCCAAGGCGAAGCATTCACTGTTTTCACTGAAACTAGTAGGTAAAAGGACAGGAAAAAAAAGAAACTTTCAAACGGTGAAAACAAGTGAAATTGTATCCTAGTTTTCATGAATGTAGAAATAAAGCAAATTATGTGCAGCAGATTTTTGATAAAAATGCTTTTATTCTTCAATCAAAAAAAACGCTGAACTTTTGTCGCAAACTGGATCTCAAAATTCAGAGTTATAATGGAACTTTGTGCTAATGAGGTATATATAATGTAAGGAAATGGAGACTGATTATGATAAATGGACAAACAGAATTTCAAAAGAGTAGCAAAGAGGCATCTTTCTTGGACAATAACCTTAAAAAAATCAATTTGAAAAGTTCCGAGAAGACGTAGACGTACCTAGTTTTTTTTCCCGATTGAAAAGAATTTTTTTCAGGAAAGATAACGAAAACCGATAGATTTCCAAAAAAGCACAAAAAATCAAAAAGCTAATTACTCCAAAACTACACAACAATTACCCAATAATGCACAGTAAATTTCGAAGTTAAATCATAATTAAAACAAACATAATGGAGATGGATAGATAAATAAAGGGGACGAGTAGGTGAACTCGTAAATTTTGTATGATCTGTAATTCTCAGTAAACTGAAAACTGAAAAAAAAAAAGAGTAACAGTAGATAAATGTTGGCAGGATATTTTGAGACGAAATATTAATTTTTGAGACATGAAGATGAATAATTTTGTACAGTTGAAACTATTTATGTACAAAACAAATCATGAAGTCATTATGTGGCATTGATACTTTTGCTGGATAATTCTTTGAGGGCATTCAGAATTTTCACCACTGGACCAAGTTTCAATCCCAGCAGCGTTACCAAATTATTATGAGCATTATCTGGCAGTAATAACAGTGATTGGCCGTCAATATCCTGATTACGGAAGGTATTCGCACAATCTTCATTGCCGGTTACTGATGATACCCACCTTGCTACTTCATCGCACTAAAACAAGGAGAAAGTACTGAACTGCTTGAATTTCAAATTATGCCAGTATTACCTCACAGTCTCTTAGACTATATATCACAGATAAGATTCAGTGTTAGTGTGCACAGAAATAAAAATGTACTCACAATATTCTGGAAAACTGGTCATTTGATAAACGAACTAATTAATGTCAACGTTTGCAACGTCGACGAAAAATCAAAGATAGAAGACATCTTCCTTCTAGTCTCTTGTCTAACCGTAGTCAAGTATTCAAAGCAAAATAAAATCCACTCATTCTTCAAGTATTTGGGAACGTTCAAGTGATAGCAAAGATAAAGAAGTTAGCTACAGAAGTCAATTAAAAATCAATGTTTACCAGTTGGAAAAAATTAAGCGAAAAATCGGTGCTTATTTAAAAAGCGTAACTCAGTGCACAGTAACAATACAAATGCTGTATAATTGTATTCTGAACTAAAAGTGAAATCAGAACAAGAATAAGAAACGTGCCAATTCCATCATTTACCATTCACAAGGAAAACTACTTACAGTCCACGTTTTTGTCGGTCTCGAAAGAAAATCCATCGTTGCATGCTCAACTGCTGGAGTTACAGCCATGGCTGGGGAAACCGATGTCGACGGTGCTTTACTGCATTCACCTAATGAGTAAGAACTGGACAAACCACGAGGAGATTTTACGATTTCCGCTTGCTGCGGTGAGACCATTTTCAGCGTTAAAGTTGGAGGTGTTCGTTGCTGCAGATCAATGGTACTACCTGAAAAATTTAATAAACTTTATTCACTGTCATTCACTTCACCCGCTACTTGTGTTTTTGAAATAAAGCGTAAATTCATATTGGAAAGTCACTGATTGCTCTCTTAATAAAGACGGTAAAACAAACCAACTCTTTCTCACATTTTGTTTCAGATGTGTAGAAAAAAATTTTTGTTTTAATTACCAACTGATTAGACTTAATAATTTAAATAATCTGATTTTCGCCAAGTGACAAGCAGAACCATCTCGCCATGTTCTGTAACGTCATATCCTACTTCTACAAAGTAAATCCAGTAATCAAACATGCAAAATAACGATATCAGTGATGTATTAAAAATTCTGACGAACCTGTAGAGGACGGCTCGGAAATTATGCTGAGATTTTGCACTGTAGGATTAATATCTTTATTAATTGGTGATGTATCCGTTGAACGTATAACTGGTAGTCGCGGTGATGCATTGAATGAGCGTCCAACTAAAAAAAAGGAAAAAATGACCAACATTAATCACCACTGATGGAGATTGCTGAATCAATCAAAAAAAATCAAATTTCCCACAAAAATATTGGAAATTTTCGAGAAAGAGTAACAACATGAAGATTTAACAATCTACACATCATTTTCAACAAATAGATTTTCAACAAATTGCAACAATTAGAATTTACTTAGCCTTGAAAAGAAATAAGCTCTAATTCAGATAAAGCTAATTACCCTATCTCTTGTGTTACAAATACAAATTATTTCGAAGTTTCAACACAAAGACCATCAAAAAACGCTGATAATGCTAGTTTAATAGTGTTTTTGGCACAGGCTGTCCTAAGCGACGGAAAAGATCAAACCTTGCTCTTCACTAATAGTTGGATTCTTCTTCCATAATTTACGACATTTCTTCGAGCAATACTGCGGATGATTTTCCAGACGTTTAAGACGCAGCAAACCATTGCAGTAGTTACATCTTTCCGTATCAAGCTCTTCATCCGAGAAACTAACTAATAAACTTCCAGTCCCTGTATCAGCACTACTTTTCGACGAAGAATTCAACGACTGATCGGCAGTTGCTGGACTTTCTATGAAATCTGATGTCATTAAATGAATCTCAAACTCCTAATTCAAATTGAATTTGAAGAGCATTTCAAAGATCAATCAAAGTCTGGTAAATTTTAACATCCATATCAGCAAAATTATCATATCATTATTAGTGGCAGCCACCGAATGTTCAATTTAACACTAATTAGCTGTTGCATTATTTGATAAGGTGCTCCTCCCTTCATGTTACAACTTGCTAATAAGAAGGTTATTAATCAGTCTGATTATTGACAGACTAACGATCTTTCATATAATTTACAAAACTTGCTGCTTCATTTAGAACAAAAACTGAAACATATTCCGGATAAAAAGTAAGGAATACCTTCCAACTTCTTGGTTACAGCTTTTGGGGAGATATCTGCAGCATCCTCAATAATGAATCTTTCCATTACCGGTTCACTTACTTCAACTTTTTCTAGTTTTTGCTTATCTACCGATGAAGAAGGTGGTCGTCCCTTTGGCTTTGTCAAACAGGTCTTTGTTGGCGGCGGTAATGGAGGTGGCGGCAGAGCTTCTTTGCTTTCTTTGGTTGGCTTATAAACAGATTTTTGCATAATATCAGAAAGACGTCCATGCGATGGCCCAAAATCCATTTGCAACAATCGGTCGAGCTGTAAAATGGCTGATTTGCTGAAATCTTTTGTTTCGATTCACCAGTTTCCTCATTGTAATGCCTTTATCGTTATATTATCGGCAGAATGATGCCGATAATGATCCCATTATTCTGCCACCCACGCTCTCTGCCGCTTGAAAACTATTAAAGAAAGTGCCACTTCATGTTAATCTAAGAAAACTCGATTTCCAAATTTAAATCAAAATTGTAAAACACAACAGTATTGGAGGAAAAAGGAAATATACTTCGTTCGTTTTACGCTTACGAGTTTTCTTTTCTGCTTTTTCACTAGACGCTTCAGATTTTGTCGGTGATGCTCTGCAAAATTTAATGAAAATTTTAATATTTGATATTATCATAAAAACTTAATATAGTGATCAAGATCTGCTTACGGACAATAAAAAAATCATCATTACTACTTCTGCTCGAATTCTACACGCAAGAAAAAATATTGTAGAACTATCCGAAGAACATGCGACTTTCAAATGACTCGAAACACTAATCTTACTTTGCACGTCCTTTTTTGGTTTCCATTTTTTCGGTGGTTATATCTAATATTGGTTCCGTACCTTTCTCGTCGATTAGTTTTTTTGGCGCTGTAAAAATACCTTGCTGGATTTTAATTCCAATAGTTATAATTCTGATAACACCGAACTGACTTAAAGCTGCTGAATGCAAGAGACATCTAAAGTTAGGTTCGAAAATAATAATATAATAATATTTATTTCAGTTATTACATCTTGAAAAATGCACAATAATAGAAGAATGAAAAACATAATCTTTGGCTCGTTTCACATTTATATTTGATATCTAAGTTAAAATGCCTTACATATCATCATTTAAACTCAAGTTCCATAATTACAAACATACATGAACTCCATCTACGTTCCTTGCATATCTTCCTTCCATTCTTATCTTCCATCTCGGATAAAAGCCAATCACTTAATCGGCAAGGTGGGTCACAAGGAAAAGGCTCGTCTGATTCCTAAAAATATAGACTGTTTCTTAAATTAATGAAATTTTGACAAATCCTAATGATTTATCCATACCCCCTATTTCAATTTTTAAATATACCTCAATTTCAAATCCTTCAATCAAATGAATAATTTTGCCTTTCCGTCCTGTTTTTTGATAATATCTTTCCGCTTCCTTGGTGAACATCATATGAATATCGAGTGCATCTTTCGACTCTCCTGAAAATCAATGACAAAGATTGATTAAATCGTAAAATTAGGTAAATATCGACAAACAATGAGGAGTAAAGTAACTTCGCATGACAGCTTATGATAAAAACTTAACAGAAGTATTATCAATTTAAATTCTGGGAAATGGTTCAGTAATTGTTGCCTTCTTATCTGACTGTAGTGGTGCCCGATTCTTCTGGTAAGATTTTGAAAAGCGGAAGCAGTCGGACAAATAGTAAATCCCAAAAATTCACTAACGGAAATCCTAAGTACAGCACTGTTAGCAATTGAGATCACTAAATATAAACACTTTTTCTCCATTTAACCTAATTTGCAGAACTGTAGGAAAAGAAGAAAAACAGCAAAGAAATAACCCTGAACAAGAAGTGGTGGAGGCTCATTTTCGATACCAGAATCAGCATAACCGTTGTCATCATCCGTAACTGTTTTCTGCGAATCATGAGAAGCTGCATCTATAAATCGTCTTTTAACTACAATAAAAATTTTCTTAAACTGTGATGAAGTCCAGCAATAACAAAATCATGGAGATCCACAAGAATTTGATCAAGAAAATTCAAAAGCATGAAATCCAGAACGTACAGAAGTTAGACAAACACAAAGCTTAGTAGGAAAATTCAAGGAGAAAAACCTTGGACTTGAGTTGGTGCCGACTGGGAAATAGGAAAGTGAGCAGTGGTTTGTTGCTGCTGTTGAAATACCGGTATCATCTGGTGCGTTGGAACAGGTGGATTCGAGATCAGCTGTTGATGTATGATTTGTCCGTTTGGTCCCATGAACGGTACCGCTGCATGTCCTCCGAAGGAACTTAGCTGCGGCATCGGAGCAGACATCACCATCATTGGAACTGGAGCACCAACTGGTACCAAATTCGTAGGAGCTATTGGTTGAGGTGTTGCAACTGAAATGAACCTAACTGATTATCAAACTTTTATACATAATTCTCTCTTCTAGATCGCGTTCCATCAACTTTCTTCAAGTTGTCTGTGATTTCAAGAGTCTAAGTTCATTTAACTTATGGACATACAGAAATATTAGCAAAAAATATATATTATGGACACAATGAGACTTCCAGGACTTACTGTGCTACATAAGGCAATACGAAAACATAAATGACAAAATAATTAATACAATTAAATTAAGAACCTAGAAATGAACTAACTTTTTACTGTGCCCGTCTTTCGTCCACTTCCTGAATGCTTACCACCTCCTCTGACATTCTTTGACAAAGCTTCACTACTTTTGACGGAAGCTGCTGGTGGCTTATTTGGTATTGAAACCATCTGCGCCAATGGCTGACTCTCTGGAATTATTTTCACATTTATACAGCTGAACTTTAACTAGGTAATGTTATGCAAAAAATATGATTCTGGATATCCTTAATAAAAGTTCTGTTGAATTATCAAACTTTCCTAACAAAAGGCTGGTCAGAAAAACATCTCTAAGGAAATCTGAAAATTCGTTTCAATTTCAGGAAAAAATATTTACATCACGAAGTCACCCAATCAATCTTTGCTCGATCTTAAGGTCCTCCGAAAAGCGTTTGAATGAAATCTAAATTTCGAATTTTTATTTAATTTGACTTGATTCTTGGCTGAAATCGATCTAAGGTCATATTAAAGATATAAAACCTTTATCAACAGTTGGCGAAGCATTACTTCCCTTTCGTTCTATGGTTGTTGATTCCTTGCTAACATTACTTGATGTCTGCTTATTTTTCGATTCAGCTGTGGCTGAAGGAACAACTTTTTGAGTGGGTGAGCTAGCAGGAGAAGGCTGGTGCTGTTGTTGGTTTTGTGGCTGACTTGCCGCCACCGCTTGTCCAATACAGGCTGGAATTTGCTGTTGTTGAGGTATCGCAATAGAGGTGCGCTGCTGAGGGGTAACCAACTCTGAATTTTGATCATAAATTCAAATTCAAATTCGAAGATGTGACGAAAAAATCTAGAACCTTGACAGAATACAGATAAGAATACTTGAGGGTAGTGCACAGTAAACCAAAAAAAAAGACAACAAAAATGAAGATGAACTCACGATGGACATATGTATATGCTCCGGATGGCATCTGGAAGACAATACCTGAGGAACCTGGTGGTGTGCGGAGTTGGATTCCTACAAATGAATTTCGGATGCGCACTGGAACTGCTAAATAAGATCTATTTCCTAGCAGATTAGAAGTAAAATTTCTTCACTACATATCACAAATGTGAAAGATATACTATGAATCTGAGAATATACTGAAACGAAATGAATTGACAGTTCATTCACAACAATATATACCTTGGGGAAACATTGACGGTTGCATCTGCTGTACTGATGCGGTTCCCAACTGCTGCGGTGATTGCTGCTGCGCTGATCGTCCTAAGGATGCATCACTTCCTTGTCCAGCAGTAGACGACGATGTTGTTGTGGTAACCGTTGTCGTTACTGTAGTTGATGACATCTGTGTACTGGTCGCTACTACAGCAACTAAAATTTTTTTTAAATCGTTCTCTTAAACATCGACATAGTTTCGTGTTTTTTTAGAGTGAATTTCCAGATTTCACCCATAATCAGAAAAATAATGGCTAAATCACTAATAATTATAGCAATATTATCCAAACATTCCGAATAGTGCAATCCTCGTCCTAGGAAATGAAGATACAACATAGGTTAAACTGCTATACATGTCTATTTGTCTGGCATTCCAACTCTCTAATTGAAGCAATAAAAACATTGGGAATATAAAGTTTTTAAAATAACTTACTAAGCCAAATAGCAATAAATAGTACGAGTTGCAGATGAGAATAATTCTACTTTCATATACAATTTGATAGTGATATATAGTAGATAATACAAAGCAATACCTGATCCCGGTCCTGGTAATGCTGGTTTTGGAGCCAGACTTCGTGCAAGTTGTCCCAATGTTGCGCTACTAGCCACAAAACCCGGCTGCACATATTGCTGCTGTGAAGGCAACTGCAAAATGAAAACTTATACGTTAAGGATGAAAACCCTTTGCCATGCAACTTATACGTTCAGCACAAAATTCCTAAAAATCTTTAAAACTTCAGCCGATAAAGGTTGAAGCTGCTATTTCAACCATAACGCTACCGCTGGAAGTTCGTTTTGTCATTTAACATTATTGCTTTAAAAACAGACTTTCAAGAATGTTTTAGGAAAACAAATTTCAAAAATCTCCTCAGGTTTAATGCTCTTCCGCGAAAATTCAGAAATCAAAAAGACAAAAGTGTGCACCACAAAAAATATTTAGGTGACAAAGAACAAGAACGAAATATTAAGGTTGAGAAAGAAGCGAAATAATCTCAGCACCAGAGTTAACGACTCACAGAAGCAATGTTAACATGGATTTCACTGCACAAAAGCAAAGATCAGGGAAGCAACAAATGGTTTAATAGCTGAAGCCCAGACCTGTCAAAAGCCGTTGACATTTAACGAAAATTTAAACGGAATCAAAAAGCCCTGCATGCATTCTCCCTCTATTTAGATTTATGTCAAACAATTGCTTGACCGAAATTAGACAACCGTTTCCGAACGTAAATATATCACCATACTGCCACTTTTGCTCCCAATTTTATTCATCTCCACTCATTCTTGCTAAGAAAGCAAAGAAAAGTATCATTTATGGTTATACAGACAGAAAATTTCGAATTAAAAGATTAAAACTGCATGAAAACTGATCAAAAACAGTCCTATGAAATGAAAAAAGCATGCAAGAAGGGATGGTGAAAGTGAAACAAAAGAGAAAAACCAAATCCATGCCGGGTGCGTATGACGGAACTGCTGCTGTGAATAAAATTGTTGGGCGGCAGCTACTGCATTTGTCGAATTTTGAACTGACTGTGCTTGTTGCTGTTGTATTACTTTAAAGAAATCCTGTGTCGAAGTGGTAATGGTGGTAGTGCAGGATGTTGATGGTGTAGAAAGTTGTTGCTGTTGCTGCTGCTGCTGCAAATGAAGTGGAAACTAAATTAACAAAAGAGCAGAGAGGTCAGGAAGAGTAGAAAATTGTAAACTGTAGATGGACTGAGCTATACGCTACAACTAGCCTCACAGAAAACCAAACATAATATAAAAGAACTGGAAACCAAAAAAAAGGAAAAAAAACAGTGGGATAACAAAAGCTGTACAGAAATTGTAAGAAAACGAAAGTGGCAGGATGCACAAATACCAAAAATTAGGAGAAAAATAGTTATTAGAAAATTACTACTTCAGATTTACCGGTCTAACAGCAGCAATTTGTTGATTTGTATTGAAATATTGCGTTGCCGACATCATGTAGCATTGCCCATTATGGTGAACAAGCATGAATTGCCCAGGCTGAATATTACGAAAACTTTGCTAATAAACAGTCAATAACTCGGTCTGTACTTCCACTTCCTCATGCCAAAATATTTCAATAATGTTAAGATAATCCTAACTACTGAAGTTCTATGCCTCCGTTATTAAAATTAACGACAGACCAAATATACCAATGTAACCCTCACATTAGCATTATATTATTTGTACCTTATTACTTCTTGTATTTTTGATATTACTTAACGGATATGGAAAGTAGAAAATATTTAAAAAATTTGCTCCAGCGGATTGGATTTGATCAAAATCAAACTTTTAAAGTTGGAAAATATATTTGCCTAGAATTCGACACACTGGAAATATAAAAATTATTAATCACTAATGTAACATGGTAAAAAAATTACCGAAGCAGAAGTTAGCATTAATGGTGTTTGTGGAACCATCTGCGTAGCAGATGATGAACTAACAACTGCGGTGGAAGTTCTGAAAAAAAAAAAAAAAAAAACCAAAAGTAAAAAAAAGTGTAAAACGATTTGATATATGTCTAGTTAAATTTATCTATTAAATTTGAGTTAGATTTAGAAATATGTAAACCTTATCAAAGCACCGGCTATCTAACTAATTGATGATGGCATCTTCTTTTAACTATTCTGCTAAGAATGTTATTCGTTATTGCGGATACAAAATGGGTTTCTCAATAAGTTGCAAAATATATGCAAATACGATATGATGCTTAAATTCCATGCCATATCATTAAGGTCCGAATTAATGAGACATGCAAAGAAGTAACGGAATTGTGCAATGGATGTAACAAGTGAACGTCTTCAAAATTTTCTGCCGCTAAACCTCGTCTTTCAAATCTATTCAATGATCAGAACATCGATGGTTTAAGCTATATCAATTTTCGTCAAGAAATTACAACCCCATATTATCAACTTTAAGATTAAAGTTGAAATCTTACTTCGTCTTATCCACGGCATCCTTTTTTGTACGTGATGTTGGCTTACGACGACTTTTTGGAGCTGGTTGTGGCGTTGATGATGTTGAAGAAGCCGTCTCGGCATTGCTACTACTTGCTGATGTTGTTGTTGTTGTTGTTGTTACTGCTGTTCCACTACTTCCAGCGATAACGTTAGTTGCATTTTTGGTATCCGATGTTATGCTTTTATTCGACGATGGCGCAGATGGATTAGAGGAGGCTAAAGCATAACATGAATGATTTTAAATTATCTTCTAACTGCTTACAGATGATAACTGTTATACAAATAAACAGAATTACGGTACTTCTAAATTCGAGCCAGTAACAGAAACTTGAACTGAATGAAATACTACAATGAATATCTGAAGATAAAGCTAAAACAATGCCAAATTTAAAAACACTAAAATCTAGTGAAATATTCGCAGTCTTAAATTAGTAGGCTTATATTACATCTAAATTGAATCAACATTAAAAATTTAAGCGACATGAAAAAAACTGCGAACGACAATCTACAGGAAAAGTGCGAGGTGATATTAACTGAATCCAAATTAACAATTACAATTTACAAGAAATAAACCACGACCTGAAGTGGTCTGTGTTGAGTCGGAAACTGAAGAAGATGATGATGAAGGCGTGACAATGGTTGTTGTTTTGGTAAAGGAATCATTACTGTTTGATGCCAATGTAATGTTACCAATACATGTCGTCACAATTGATACTGAACTGTCTGCAGTCGCGGTTGTACTACATGTAGCTTGCTTTGTAAGTACTGGTGGTGGATCATTGTCACTCATTTCATTCAAACTATGAAATGCACAATTCTTAATCAGCCGCATAAAGTGGATGAAATTTTTATACGTGGTGGAAACGCGAAATATTCTCCACGTGTCAATATTCTCCAGTATTGCAAAATAAATACTGGATTTTTAGCTAACAGCAATTAAAAAGTTGCATGTAATCAGTTAGCCGCAAGTTTTTTCAAAGCATTAGTTACTAAGCCAAAAATAAGGTTGGAAACAAAATCCTCGCATGATTCTAAAATGATCTAAAAATCTACAATTCACAAGCATTTCCAAAACTATTAAGCTACACCAAATAAATTATAAAACATTTGTATTTATATATAAAGTTAAACATATGGAATTACAACCACAGTGCATACATACAAGCCAAATAAAACTTGTGAAAAGACGCAATTCGATATGGCATTCTCAAATTTCGTGAAGAATGAAATTCTATTCAATTTCTGAAAGTATAATTTGCACCATACACCTCGACACTCTTCCCGAGATTTACTGATGTGCCAAGCTCTGGATGCTCTCTCCGCAACGCATATTCAATTGCGCCCCAATATCCTTCAATCCCGAAACTCCACCCCTTCCCTTTTATATTTGAATTCTTCGTGCAACGCAAAATTCGGCTGCACGTATGATCATATTCATCCGGCTGATATTTGTCGTGATTAATAGGCATTGGTTATTGAATTTCTTCTCTTACGTGGAGAATGTTTACTTACGTGAGGAACAAGTACGAGTAGATGGGAACTATAGGAAGATATTGTATAGGAAGTCTGTATTAAAGAAATGTTACTTCAAAGGAGATGTTAGAATTTACTTGGAGAGATATCAATCAAGAATGACATGGAAAAATGTTTAGGATTTATATGGTAATATAAAGAGAGCATTAGGAATTATGTTGGAATTTAAATAAGATTACATGGAAAGATATTAAGATTTATATGGAGGCAAAGACATGAATGCATTGGGATATACACAAGAATTTACATAAGGTAAATTTCAACGTTGATATCTTCACGTAAGTCTTAATATGTTGACATCTTCACGTAACTCTCATAAGTCTTAACATATTCTCAACGTGGAGAGACATCAATACTTATAGGACATACAGACATAAATGCATTAGAACTTACGTTGGAATTTACGTAAGAATGTCAACGTGGGAAGGTATTAAGTTTTATATGGGGGCAGAAACATAAGTGCATGGATACAGCATTAGGACTTACATTGAAATTTGCATAAAATGTTGATATTTAGATAGAATTACATTAGATCTATATAAGTAGACTCTTGGCTGTTCATGAAGATTTAGGATTTTAATGGGAAGGTTTACATTAAAAGCCTAAAAAGATGTTTGGACAATGCAAAAGAATTAATATTCGTTTCGAAATGTCTTAATTATTGTACTCGAAGAAATTATAAATCTCTTTTTTCATTTTGCAAGTTTTCGGAATTTAATAATCCCCATTGTAACCGTTGATAGTTCAGCTGATTGATATGTTTAAATTACAGTAGTCTTGATTTCAGGAATTGCATTTCTGACTGGGTCTTATATGTGTTAGTTATGTTTTCGTTAAGCGACTTCTCATACTAACCAAAGGTGTGAAGAAGACTCCTGTTAGTTCTAATAAACAAAAAAATGTTAAGTAAATATATTTGATTATCACTGTATTTTGAAGTATAACTTAATTAATTGTACTTTCAAGTTTCATATAAAAACTTCAAGGATTAGGTAATTGTGGACGGACGCATCAAGAGTGATAATTCTCACATTTATTGCAGATATCGACAGTCAAGGCGGGTTCTGTCGTCATCTGTGTGTGGTTGTCCAGGAAATTCAACTATACTGATCAATGGCGGGAGTCAGAGGTAATGCTGGAATTTATACTTCTTTTCCATTAATCTTACTAATGATGCCAATAATGTACTAGTATAGGTTAACAGCAGTGCTGTAATAATAATAATTCTTTAACAGTTCTACTTTTGGAATTTTTGGAATTAGTAACCTTGATAATAATCCTTGTAATAGTAAAAGTCTCTGATAACAGTAACAATTTTGCTGGAAAATAGTAATGCTAATAGATTTACTATATTCTTATCTAATCGAATATGTGAAGTTCCTTGGAAGAAATTAGTGATCATAGAGATTTTGTCACTCCTGTTTTTTCTTTTTTTTTCTTGCATCCAATAATAAATAGATTAATCCTTAAAACATTAAAAGGCATGAAACAACCACAGTGCAATCATTTATTACTATATTGTTATCATGAAGAAGTTTGTCTTGTCGTTTGTGGAAGGAAATGATATTATTTTAGCGGTTGTACTTTTGGCATTATCCGGTGTGGTTGGTCTTACGCTGCTCGTTCTAGGATGCGCATTGCCAATGTTCGGGTAAGGAAGTAAAAAATATTGCGTATTTTTGATAAAAAATATTGCATATTTTTGACTGTAATTTTTTTGCAGATGTAGAATTAAAGAAATTAATCACAGCAAAAATTGAAGGAACTTTTAATTGTAAAGAAATATGACAGTCTGTTGAAGGAAACTTTTGTTTAGTGTTTGGTGGCCATTATTCGTCGTAATCTTTTACGTATTGGCTCCGATACCATTATCTATAGCTCGGCGATCTCATGTTGATATGACTGGTACTTCAGCATGTATTGAGTTTGCATTGTTCATAACGACTGGTATTGTCGTATCAGCGTTTGCATTACCAATGGTCCTTGCACACGCTGGAGTAGTAAGTTTCACGAATTAATTTAGTATCTACAGTTGTTATTAATCATCGGAAGCATTTAAAGAAGGGTATTGGAAACTTTACTTTTACGGAGTATTCATTCGAAATTAGGACGGTACTCAGTGATATACTTCGCACCACTTTTCTAATTTTGTCTGAAATATGCTTTTCAAAAGTCTTGCATGTCTGATGATTTTTTAGTTTCTGCAATGCATGGTCGTGCATGGATCTTGTTTCTTTTATTGAAGTATTGAAATTATTAATTAATCATAATCACTTTGATAAAAGATGTATAGTTAATAGAAATAGTTTGAAGCGGCTGAAAACTAAACAACCCATAGTTTTATTTTTTACAAAAGGAATACTTTACGTGATCCGTCTGAAACATACTTTTCGGAATATCTTAGGTAATCAAAGAATTATATAGAAGTAATTTGTCTCTCCTTTATTAGATTAATCTTATATTGGCAGTGGTCGCTGCTCCTACCTTGTAAATAGGATTGTGATGTTATCCATCAGTAAGGATCCCACTTAATAATTATTAACCGGTTGATAAGTTATTTGTTATGCTACAGGCAAAGATATATTTTCAATTCATACTTAGTGCCTAAACGTTTGATTTGCTGAAATTTAAATTTATTCGAATTGACAATTTGAATGTACTAAATTTATGTTTGTCATTTTTGTTATGGCACCATTTCTGCAGTACTTGCTATTGTGTGCGTGGTACCTTTTTATTAATTCAGATCAAATGGTTGGCATGTTTATGCGCAAATCTTGGTTCTGTGGTGATGTTTTTGACGATCCTTTGTTATTTTTATTTACATCGAGAAGATGATGGGAGTGGATGGAATCAAACGCTTTTCTGATTGTTACTTTGGGAACTCGATTATATTAACTGAGGAGCGGTAATGCATGTTGTACTTTTTACTTGGAAGATTTTTTAGGGATAAAGTAACGCAAAAGTAGTAGTTTCAACATTTTAAGTTTTTGACCTTTTTTGCCGAATTGAAAAAGTAATGCCTTACCAAAAAAAAATCCAAAAAGGATGTCTTCAACGCTTTCATAGCTTAGGAATATGGCTTGTTTAATATTCAGATGCTGGTCTTAGAATCGTTCTGATTTAATCTACGAATGCATGAGTTTGCTTCTTCTTTCTTCACCTTCTAGCTCTTTTAGGGGATATAGCCATGAGCAAAGACCTGAAATATCTGCTGACTTAATATGGATGGGGCAGTTTAAGTGCTTGAAAATTTCGGGGATTTTTTCTTCAACTTGCTTATTGATAAGGAAACATACATCTTTCATGGAGTTCCAATGTTCTCAATAGAGTATGTCATTTTAAGATGCTTAATGTGAATTACCAATTTCGTCATATTTTTGTTTAACTTTCCATTATTTTCAAAATAATGAAATGAATGTCATGAGGTGTTAATATTTAAAAACTTAACGATGAATTTTTTATTAAAAAGGATTTCGAAGTCAAAAATTTTATCTGCATTGAGAATTCGGAATTAGGTCTTAGAATGAACAAAGATATGAGAAGTTGGCTATTTTGCTCCCACATTTGAGTTGTACACCCTGTTTCTTTGTCTGGAATTCCAAACTGTATTGGGCAAGACAATCCGAATCAGAAGAATCCTCATGAACTTGTTTTGCCGACATCACATCTTTTATTTATTAGTTTGAAGCACTTATATGCATATAGTATAAGAGTTACATTTCATTGTTACGCATGTCTTTCCAGTTGGCAATATTCTAAAACAGCGTCTCTCACACCTCTTTTAAGTAACTAAATAAATGATATATCGGAATTGAATTATTAAAACGAATTATTGCTGATAACGAATTGTTGAAAGATTTATGATTTGTTTATTTTTCGAACATATAATTTCGATCCCTTTCTATTGTTGGACAACAATTTTCATCGATTACAGATTCCCGGTCTGTCGTATTTTTTCGTGTCTCTCGCCAATATTGTTTGCTTTGGTGCAGTTTGGATATATTTCAAGTTATTCAACGAAGATAGCTTACATGATATGTCACTTTGGTGAAATTTTCCCGCTTCCTCTTCCTCGCTTTCACCATCACCTTTCTGTTGTTTGCACTACTTTGATATATTTCTTTCAGCATCTTTTATCAAATTAATTTTCAGAAACCTCAAATTTCGTATTCTAGGGTATTGTTTAAAATTCCAGATCCAGTTTAAAATTTAGCGCTTTTCACTTATGATAAGAAATATTTATATGCTAGAGTTTCAGGGCATATAATAAGTGATGTCATGAAAAGAGCTTAAAATAACTGAATAATGATAGTTATATGGAATTAGGTACATAAGTTTGGAGATGCATATTTTTCGATGAGAAATTTGTCCTTGCAATTTTTGTTTTTTTCGAAATTTAACGACCATCAATATTGTACGCAAGCTCCTTTGTTTTACACACATATGTGCAAGGTGTTTGTTGCGCAGATGTACTTTGTTTAATCTTCTGTATATTTTCCTACGTTTAACTTTCGCAGCTCGCTTCGCCTTGATAATGTTTGTGTTGTATTTAAAGTTTCAAGAACTCAAAAGTAATACTATGTAGACAACTGTGTGCTTATTGTCTACTACCATGTAGACAACTGTGTATTTATTACAGGGTAGACACAAAGTAGCCAACATGCTGTACATTTTTGAATTTTGGAGATGTAAAGGATGTGATACCCTGGCACAATAATATGGGGAAATGTGGGAAATACCTGCAACATCATAAGCGGTCTATTTATAACCAGGAAATACCGTTGGTTCTTGAAAGTGTTTAGATTTTGGATCACAAAATTTTGATGGGACTACATTCCTCTATCGGATTTTTACTTTCCTGAGACGGAATTTAGAGTGAAACTTCCATTGCTATACACTTTTGCCTGAATATAAATACAAGCAATCCCTGGAAAGTCTTAATAAATCAAGAAAACAATTTTATGAGCTTGATCAAAGCATTAGAGCCATTATTAGTAGGCTAATTACAAAGGTAAAATTGAGTAACTAAGTGCAGTCTAAGTGATTTGCAGCGTAGCCGTTATTGAGAATGAGCTTGGGATGGTGAAGAGTTCTGTTTCAGAATTCTGGGAGGAAAAGCACCCTCGATTAAAAGATAAAACGTAGGACATCCCTAAATTCTATGTTCACCTACTTTTAAAGATACAAAGACCACGATTTTCAATTGTTGATGGTCCTATCTTTATAGAATAAGAACAATAGAGGATGAGGAAATTATATCACTTCCATTGTTTCTGGAAACATTTCACCGGTCTTCGGGTTGCAAAAGTGTAAACTTTGCGATACATTCCATTATCCAAATTGGTGTAATAAGGCTGATAAATTTCTGCTTCACAACCCGCTGTGGAATAGATTGCCCTGGCATATATACCGCAAACAAACCGGATAGCTGAAATATCGGAATTTAGGTAAACCTAAAAAGAAGATAAATTTCGGGAGGCATTTTTTTTAGTGGCGGATGACCATACATAGTCTGTCTGCAATCTGAATTTCTTGAAATCTAAAAAGTCATAAAATAAGTTCAGAGTCCTAGAGCTTTGCAGATAGTGGCATCTTACTTTATTCGAATTATATTCTGCTCTTCGTGCATGATATGGTCTTAACCCACTCTCAATATATTCTTCCACTTTGGGCTCTCTTCCGAGTATCACACCTCCAGCCAACTGAACCAATTTCTTGATTTCACTGTCTCGATATGGTAAATATTTATGCTTACAAAAATAAAATTGACACCCTCGAAACAGCCCTGGTTCCTGGAAATACATCAAAAACGTTTGCAAAATTCATAGGGGAACTTAAAATTCTAATATCTCCACTTTTCTCCTAGTGTGAGCTAAGTCTCGTATTCCGACGTGATAGTAATGATGATTAGGTACACTTTTCCGGGATTAAAAGTTTCAAGAGTTTCCAACAACTCACAAAATACTGTCGCATTTTATTATTCAAAAATCCAATTTGATTTAGTTTATTAGTTGATAAGTTAGACGAGATTAGTTTGACAGTTGACTACTTTTACGAAGTCTTTCAAGTTGCCCCTAATGAACTCGCCGCATCGAAAGACCTGGCAATCACAAAATCGTAGTTAACGAGACTTAAGGCATCAAAACAAAAATCGTAAATCTGTATAATAGCGTAGGACAGAGAGGAACAGAACGAAGAAATCGAAAAAAATTTTTTATTTTTTCCTTGTTCCTTCTTCTCTGAGATCGGCGAAAATTGATTGCTATATTAAAAAAACCATTAGAAGAAGCAAATCATTAAAAACTAATTCCATTTCGATTGTCGATGGTAAATGTAAACGGAGAGAAAAAACTTGAATGGAAACTATCCGTGACAGGAAAGCGAGAAAATTGTGATGCGCTGCATATTTTAACATTAATAACTATCGACAGCAATGCACTGAAGATAGACCTAATATCACCGACGGAAATTATCATCGTAATTGAAAACTAACTGAAAGGCAAACTAACCATTCTAGCATAATTTTCCCTAGCTGTAGAACATGAATTTTTGGCAAGCAGTTGACCATTATGATTAATTGCTGTAATTTCATACATCTTTTCATCCACGACATCATTTGCTTCCAAACATGCATCCAACCAATCACTTGTTAAAATATATTGTCCACGAAGCATAGCTTCCAAAATTTCAACTATAAAATACGATATTAAAAAAATTTTTCTTTTCTCACTTTCTATTTTTAAGTCTTACGAACTTACCATTCTAGTTGCTTCGAGAACTCTACTATGTATTCCCTATTTTGAAGGTTCCTCTGAGAATTGCAGAAAATTTTGGACAAAACCTACCAGTGGTTTCTGCTGCTTGGTTTTCCACTGCCTGAACAACTAAATGTGTCGCAGTTTCAAAATTCATGGTATCTTTTGAGAGGTCATTGAATAAAAGTTTGCCGCTCTCGAGTTTTACATCTGGTAATGTTTTCGATAGGAATACGGAATGCTTCTTGCATTTGCGAGAAGGATATACTACAAAGAGTGTATTTTATTTGAATGTAAGAACTTACGAGCAAACTTAGATTCAACTTATTACTTCAAACACAAGACTAAGGCTATTTTGATGAGGGCCATATGCGCTAGTAGTTAAAAAAAAAAAGAAAAAACAAAAAAAAAAGCTCCTATTGTTCTTCCTGCCTAATTCATAATAAATTTATTGGGACATTGAAATGCTGAAAGAGAACAGATTTTAAGCTATTCGATCATAAAGTACATCTTCATTTGTGGTATTTTGATGTGTACATTCGCTCCTGACATACATCAATCGCGATACGTTATTCAGTTGCCTGACAGGTGTTACACATCGTCAACCGAGTGGCTGTTCGTAATTGATCTACTCCAAAATGTCATATTTCACTATGCTTATTTTTTAAGCAAGCTAAGTAATCGTACCATTTTGAACCGAATCGGAAATTCTGCCAAATATTGCTCGTATTTCATCATCATTAATGAAATCCATCGGTGTTTCATCCTGTAATCTAGAATTTATTCTATTTCACTAAAATTTTCAATGTTTTATACACTGGGGAAAGACAAAGTTTTCAATGTTTTATACACTGAGGAAAGACAAAATATTTTTCTACTTTTTTTTTCTCAAAAGGAATAGTCAGATTGAAATTAACTAAGTAATGTGTGTAATTTAAACCATGCTATAGTAATAAATGGAAAGGTTACTTTCAAGTTATGCGCTCGTCTATTTGCTCCTTTCGATAACAAATATTCCGTAACATCAACAGCATGCCAACGCACCGCTGCGTGAAGTGCTGTTTCGCATAACTCTCCAACTACGTAAAATACAATTAGTTAAATTTGTAGAACTTAACTGCGGTTTCATATCCATATTTAGTGAATTACCACAGATAATGGAACTATCCAATCATTCAGTGTAGCACACCTTTCGGTTGCGATATGAATAAAATTTTTAAAACAGACTACTTACTATGTATGCTACCCATGTAGAACTATTTCGTTTCAACAAAATTCGACCAAAACGGTTTGAAATAATTTTGATTTTTAACTTAGTTTGACAAAATTATTTCAAATTACAAGAACTCTACCATGTGCATTGATAAGAGCACCATTTTCAATCAAAATTTTGCAAATTTCGGTGTAATTATGAGCTGCGGCATGATAAAGCGCCGTCAAACCAAGATTATCACTCTCATTAGCATCTTCTCCATTCTGTAAATTAAAAAAAAAAAAAAGAAAGGGAGGAATATGAATTCAAACTACCCTTCACTAAATCAAATTCATCCTGTTTTATGTCACAATCGATGTATCAGTTCTACTCAATGTGTTATAACAGGAATTATTACTACCTCTATAGCTTCCAGAAGCTTCTTTTTTGATCCACGTATAGCTGCATTCACTAGATTATATGCGTAGCGTTGAGATGGTGATTTGTGAGAATTATGTGCTTTTGCTGTTGTTAATGAGTCCGAATTCTTGGCACTCCGGCTTTTCAATCCATGTTCCGAATCACTGGGCTGAAAAATTCTTTTGGGTGCTGTTTAAGTGCTCAAAATATTATAACAAATGTAATGTTGGTTAGAATTCGTTAGAAAAACTGTAATAAATCGTGTTCGAAACACACACTTGGGCCACAACCGAAGGATGTACTTACTCTCCCAAATGATACAACCTATAGTTTTGAATGATTAAACCATCTTGGTGATCTACCTAATAGAGAAAGTCGATCAATCAATTTACAGGTTTAAACATCAGCAGATGTTGTGATCTTCAAAAGCATACCACCCTCTTTTTTGCCACAGTTTTACCGAAAGTATTTCTGGGCGGTTCTTTGAAGAACTGAAAATTTCCTGGTTCATCATAAACACGCAACTGCTGAGTCATTAGAATATCATTTTGGACGGAAGTTCCAGCAAAACCCAAAACATCATCGTTCGAAGCAGGAGTTGCTCTGAAAACTGCAAACTAGTTAGTTCTTTATTAAAATTTTTATTGAAAAGCATTAACTTTAATCAATTCTTTATTACCGCTGAAAATGAAATAAATTTAACACACAAAAATAGATTTCATATTCTGCAACTAAACTTATCAAAAAACGCTGAATATATCCTTTAGAAAAAACCAAACGATATAAAAACTTGCTCTGACGGTAGCTCTTTCGAGTGTACACTTATGATCGCACGATTAAAATCATCCTTGGTTCCAACACATTCTTGCGTAGAACAAAACTCTTCTACAGTTCTTCGCTGTTCATCTGTTTCAACCAAGCTAAGCATAATTTGCCGATCAAATTGAGAAACGGTGAACTGGAACATTACGCAGTTTTGTTGTGTTACTCGTCTGAGCATGTATCGAGTAATAAAACATCGATATATTGATGCTATTAAACAATAAAACTTTGGGCTTATGCGCAAGTTTAAAATATGAAACATAAAGTTCAGCGCTTCAAAATTGCGAAGTAGTTGATGAACTGATGTTCGGTGATTTAAAACTATGTATATTCAACTTATCACTTTCACTTATCACTTCATTTTCGTCAAATATCATTGCAAATAAAATCTTCAGCACTTTTCTAAACCAAAAAACCAGCTATCTTTAAGTGATTCAACTCTAAAATACCAATCTCTTTGTTATGTTGTGGAATGAGCTATACGAACGAGGAAACCAACTTTAGCAAGAGCTTCCTTCAGAGATAAAAGATTTTGGAAAAGCTGATCAGCAAAAGCCGCTGACTTCACGTGCTGTAATCCAACAGGTAGTAAACATTGCGGACATAATGGGAAATACTTGTTATCACAAATTGCGTTGATACATGTCCTGCAAAATGCTATGGGTAAGTGTTTTAAACACATGTATTTGTTAAGACAAAATTTGAACCTTTCATAGAGCGCTATATTCGGAATACTTCGGATTTCATTTAAAATTTCGAAGTTCTCCGGAAGATATCCTTCAATCTCATATTAATTTTCAATTATATTAAATTACAGCAACATCAGAAATTACCATCTTAACTGTATGAAACGAGACACGATGTTCTTCATTAAGGACTAGTAAATTAACTATTAATAGTTGCTGAGAAGAGGACTCTGTTTAGTAAGTGAAGTTACCGCTTAGTTAACATTTTTCGATCTAAAGGATCGGTTTAATTCTTGGCAATGGAATATCACCTGTTTTTTGATCAGCGAGTGATAACGTTTGAGGATTTTTGGGTCACATTAAATATGCTTTGCCGTCAGGGTGGTGAGAAAGTCTTCCCAAATTTTTATCTAAGATCACTTGAAGCGCTAGATATAGTACTTTGAGTATTCTATTTCAAGTAATTTTTTCCAGTAATGAGTAATCTACTTCAGACTTACTCCCTCCGAAAAGTATATTCTCAGATGGAAGGTCTCTGGAGATAATTCATATTGAATCCTGAAAATTTATGAAAAGCAGGAATTTTTCTCGAATTCCGAGTTTTCGGATAATAATTCTGATGACTTCCATATTTATTTCAGAGCTAAACGAGAAATTTACCAGCAAAATACATGCTTGCAGGATGATCCAATAAACTGCAACTTATCTGATGGCTGATGACTGAAATTTGTAAAATTTACGATGAATCGATGAAATTTCAGAAATTTTATTTACAACAGTCTATTAAAGTTTTGAAAAATCAGCTAGAGATTATTTAATAACAGGTTTGAAATCAAATACGATTTTTTTTTCGAAAAATTGAATCCCAACCTCCGAAAAACTGGCAGAAATTAAACAAGTGCTACGAAATAAACAAGAAATCTGTGCATTGTTTAACTGACTGTAATAAGTACCATTGATCACAGCATATGCTTTTCAGAAATGCTTCCGTATGATTCAGTGTTGAAGCAAACATCACTTTATTTAGAATTCTAACTTCCTAATCCGGTCGGATCAATAATATAATAACGGGAGATCTATAATTTATACAAGTTGTAGTAAAATCATTAATCCGGTTGCATCTGCAAATGTTACAAGTGGCATAATCTGAAGCTAATATCTGAAATCGTAATGAAATTCCAGTACAAAAAATAGTCATCCCCAAGTTCCAATTCCAACAACCGGACAACCCCAACTATCAATAACCTGATTTTGAATTCATATTCCTCATCCTAACCACTGTGCAACTTTTACATCCCATGTTGTTTCAGAGAATGTGAATGGTTTCTCAAGTTATTATTGTTTTCTCTCTGCTTTGTCGATATACTTGTGATTTGTATTTAAGAACCTGATACAGTAATTACACATATACATTGTTTGCATACTAAATTACTTATCCACTTAATTACAAGGGAATAGGTTAAATTGTGCTGTTAGTTAAGTTGAAGGAGTTAGAGGTATTTAATTACTCACTTAATTGCTAGGGGAATTAAATTATACAGCTAAACATATTAGAGTGCTTAAAAGTTAGATGTGCTTATTTACTTACTTAGTTGAAAGAGGGTAAGTTAAATCATATAGGTAATAAAGTTAAAGTAGTTGGAAATTAGGTGTACTTGCTTCTTTAACTGCAAGAGGCTAGATTAAATTATGTAGTTAGTTAAGTTAAAGTAATTAGAACTAATTAACTACTTACTTAATTTGCTAGACTAGTTGCGGATTAAAATACTTAAGCAAGTTAAAGTAATTAGGATTGAAATGGGATTTGCACTCGAAGTTCCATTCATAGTTCGAATGTTTAATTTAATCATTAATCATGTTTATTAACATCATCATTTCTATCACTTCTTATCAACTTGTTATTTTTTTCGGACATGTTTTGGAAGAAATTTCATGAAATATCTTATTAAAATGATATCATTATTACTATTATTATTTATTATTGCCATCAGTATCATAGTAATTATGATTAATATCATTACTATTATTCTCCTTTCCGTTTTTCTCTTTTATTCCGGAGTGATAGTGAGTAAGATATGTCTTTATGTTGATAACCGGAATGAACATTATCAGAATGTCTTGCTAAAATGATATCGTTATTACTATCATTATTTTACTATCATTATTTATTATTGCCATCAGTATCATAGTAATTATAAAAAAAAAAAAGAAAAAAAGTGCTCCAGTTCAACTATGCTTGAATTTTGTTTGATATTTATGGTGAGAAATATGAGTGAATATTCATCAAAGCTGTTCTTTCCTGACTGTGATAAAGTATCAGAAATGCAATGTATTCCATCTATCAATTCAATAAATTTGATGAAACTTTATCATAAACTTTTCTTTTTTTTCAAAAAAAAAATTATTCACCACAGAATTGAATAACGATAAATAACGGAACGGAATCGGATAGTCTCATTCCAAATTCTTTTTGTTATTTCGAAATTTTCAAATATTATATTTTTAAGACGTAAAACTTGAAAAAGCTAACCATTGGGCCAAGAAACAATCAAGAAAGATTTTTGCTAAAGGAAACTGGTAGACTTACATGAATTTTACCTTTTCAATTCTTAAAATTTCAAAATAACCTTTTGATAACAAAAAGAAAAAAATTCATTATTGATTATGATAATGATAATATGTACTTCATTCATCTTACGGTTCCATCTCATACTTTTTCTGGCGCACTTGTCGCACTGATCAATGACGTTTCCATTGATGGAAGTGTTTTATTGGCAAATTGTCTTTTATATCTAATTGGACATATGCTAACCATTCGTCTAATATATAGCTGAAAAAAAAAGTAATGATATTATAAACCTTGAACAAATCTTCCATTATTTTACGAATTGTCGGTTCAAATACCGAAATTTATGACAAATGAAACTTAGAATTAGTTGAATTTCTTCTTTTTTTCAGGAAAAGTTTGAGTATCATCAGGAATATGGTGACATGAATTTTGGTGACGACATGATTTTTAAATGTCCTTTTAGCTATCTTATTTAAACTATCAAAGGAAACAATTAAAGCTAGACGATGATAGTAAATGAATGATTGATTGCTGATAATTAAAGAATTGGTTAAGAAATTCCAACATGAGATATTAATCATGTCATAAATTCCTATGATACTGGAATGATTAATATTGAACTTACACTGATACTATCATAAAATTCAATGTTCAAATAACAGAGCATTCCAATCAATAACATTCCTAATGAAATAAGTAAAAATTGGGTGATAGTTGTAAAACGGATAAGAATAAGTGCAAAACCAAAACCGGTTGATTCCCAAAAATGATAATTAGCAAATGCAACTTCTAGTTGACTAGAAGATAACGTTATCCATAATCCTGTAATCAAATTTATTAAATTTCACTTTTTCACTTCTCTATTTTTTCTCCTTTTTTTCTTGTTTTCTTTGAAATCTTTATTAATAAGGCTAATAGGGTAATGGAATTGTTTATTAATAATTTTTTGTAAAATTTTCATTATTAGTCTTCTATGTGCAGTTAGAATTAACTGTCAACCTTAACTGTCAACCCTATTTAGTTAATTAATTAACTCATGTTTGAATATAATGCAGATGGTTTAATTAAAATGAAAAGTTCAATCATTTATCGATAAATCAAAGGATTTCCAGGATTCAAATTAGCTACCACTAATCTGAGTATTCCAAACGCCATCAGCCATGCCTAAAACACCAACGATAGCGTAGAATAACGATGTATCACCAGGATTCAAAGGCCAAATCTGAAAATAGTACAGTGTTAAACTGGTAATGAACCGAACTGATTGACTTAATACTAAATTGCATGTTACCGGATTATCATCATCCGGAATAATCTATCGCTTCATGATAAAACAGACAAATAGCACTGCTTATTTTTTTTTATACTCAAAAATGACAATATAAATTCACCAAAGCATAATTAAAAACGGCTTAATAGGAAGAAAAATTGTAACTTTAAACAAGCTCTAAGCTGACACTTATTGATCGAAACTTTCGTCACATAAAATTTAACTTACCAAAAGTGTTAATGATACAAGCATACTTATAACAGCACCAAAAACAAACAAAGGCATTCGTCCAAATAATTTCATTAATGGCCCAAAAACTAAGCTACATATAGCATCTGCTACGCCAAATCCTGTCATCATGAAACCAATTTGGCCAATACCAAGACCACAACCAATGTAAGCCTCAAAAAAAAAAAATTCATTTATTAATAAAATAAGAGCCAGATTATATATGATATTTGTGACATCTAATATCATCATTGATCTTTGATAATCAGGAAAAAAATTAAGTTAAATTGCAAAAAAAAAAACAGAAGCAAAAGTTACTTTTGTATAAAGGCCTACGACAAATGCTTGTTCAACACCACTGAAAAATGTTAATGGTACAAGTAGCAATGACTTTGGATAAGTAAGATTTCGAAATATCGCCTTACAAATATCTGTTGAAAAAAATGGTTCTTCTAATCTGCAATAAATAAATAAATTATTTCATTGAATAGTTTTATAATTTTTAAATTCCACAAATTTATTTCGCTTATAATTTATTAAAAGTTTTTGTTTAGGTAATTTTTACTTCTGATTTTCAAAAATTTGAATAAAGAATTTAATTTCAACATTTTTTTTTTAGCTTACTATGTAAATTCGTTTGTCATCTATTGGTTCACAAAATTTCCAATTGCTTGATATTTATTTCCGGTGATCGATCGCAATTTATGTTATTGATTCAATTTAGTCCTGGTTACCTACCACAATTTATACTAATTGATCCTAGTTTAGACTAAGAGAAGAATGTTAGAAAATTATAAGACAGGAGATTTCAATCAAAATTTTGCATAAATATTTTGCCCTATAGGAAGTGATAAGTGATATCAGAAAGATTAACATAATTTCTATTGCCTGTCGAACTTATCATTTTCTTCCTCCAATCATCTTCATACCATTGACAACTTCATTAGTTTTTTTTCTTTTTCTTTCAATTTTTGAGCATTTCCGATATTTCAGGAAAAAATTTTTTTCCCTATCGGAAATTATTGAAAAAGACTATCAGGATTTCATTGGTGTATTGATACCTTATGTGATCATTTATCCGAAATAACATCATGAGAATTCTATGATACTATCCTTGATGCTGTATCTCGACGCCATCTATTCTATTGCCAACTGATTAATCTGTTAGTATTTCAACTAATTTATTTAACATTACTAGATACACCAATACTTTCCATTTTGCTTTACTTAATATTTCCAGACAAATGATATTTTACATAACATTTCCGGATATAATTTCCGTAACACATCGAATCATCCTTCCCTCTTACTCTTAAAAATAAGAAATAAATAATGCCATTTAAACCTGGTAATTTCATCTTTTCTTAGCGAATTTAGAAAAAGGAGCACGATCATAAGTGCCACAATGGTACAACAGAAGTAAATACCACAAAGTGACAAATAAACATTTTGTGCAGGTCGTCGCAAATTTTCGATTGCTTGATCACTTAAGTACGACAAATTATCATGAAATAAATGACCACAACTAAAATCTTGCACACATTAAGCATCAATTTTCAATTATTTCAAGTTTTTCTTTTTTTTTTGGGAATAAAATAATTTAAATAAAATGAACATTTGAAGTTTTAACATTTGAAAAAATTAAGTTTGCATATTAGTAATCGTTACTGCAAAATGGAGAAATGTTAAAGCATTTTGAAATAAAGAGCAATTAAAATAATTAAAATTAAAAGTAGTACCATTTCTGCACCTGATCTTCTAATTGACGATGACTAGTTGCAGCTGTTAAAATGAAGGATGAAATAAGATTACCAATTACTTGACCCAAATGAAGTACCATAAAAAAGTAACCAAAAAACCTGAAATAGGTGTAATATTTATTTATCATTCATTTTCTTATTTAAAAAAATGATTAATATTTCATGGAAATGGATTTGTTTACAATATAAATACCTGATGATGACAATATTTTGTGCTTCAATATTTAATTGCGCATATTTTGTTCCGCATTCTAAAATGTATACACATTTTGCTGCCCAAAGACAGCTTCCAGCACATCCAGCAAGAATAGAAGCTGGAATAAGCGAGTAATATCTATAAAAGATGATATATGTATGTAAATACTGGAATGGAATATAATATTGGAACAGGATATAATACCGGAATAGAATATAATATAAAATATTGAATTGAATATTCATAGATAACAGAAATAGTTGAAAGAAAATATAACTACTTTGATAAAGGTGAAGTGAATAATATGCTGACTATAATTAGTTTTTACATATGTTAATTATCCTTGACAGTGATAATTCCTTGACATGATAATTTTGCGATGTAATGATAAATTTGTAATATAGCAACAATTTTGTGATACAGTGATAATTTTGCGATGATATGATAACTTTGCAACACAGTGATAATTTTGTGATATAATGACATTTTTTGTGGTATATTAATAATTTCGTGATATATAATTTTATTTTAGTGATAATTTTCGGGATATAGTGATAATAGGATGATTTCTTGATAACTTACTTTGGCAAAAAATTTGATAACATGTAAATCATGAATATTCCTGATGATGCGATTAATGTACGTTTACATCCAAGGCGATTTAAGATGAATGATGGAACAAATAAGTATGATAGTGATAAGCTGATATAGAAGATTCTGAATTTCTTATGGAGCGTTACATAAGTTTTAAATAAGAGCATTTGATTTTCAGATTAAAATATTTTTAAGACGAATGTGATATTTTTGGACTTAATGAATCGATCAATATATCTAAAATCATGATCTAAGCATAACATTGTGGGAAAAAAAAATTTACGAGAGACAATCTGTTCCAAGACGACCATTGATCGAGGATTGCAAATTCTGCAATCCATGAAAAGCTGTAAAGAGGAATAAAAATGTCAAGCTAACGATCCATAAATTCACTCGAATCTTCCGTTTCGCCTTATCACATCGGTATTTCTCAGAACCAGATAGGAGAGCACGGCGTCTTTTCCGGATTAATTTTGCGGCAAACGCCTGACTAAAAATGGATTTATAACTTGTTTTAAATTTATTCAAGTTTTGCATACGCTCATCTTATAACTTTAAATTTGAAATTGGAAAGATAAATTCCTTTCCTGAGTAAAATAACTCCTGATGGTTCAGTATCATCAACCGATTCAATACTCGTTAAATGATAATCGAAATCGCGAATTCTTGTCTTTTTGTTAATCATTCGACGTCTAGAGCCATGGATTGGACAAAACGGATCATACACGTAAATACGTTCAACATTATTATCAAGAGATCCAGAATCTGATGGCTTTTTGTTGTAGAGTGAATCACCACGAAACAGATAAGCACTGGAGAAATATAAAATTTTAATTTATTCTAAATTTAAACTCAAATTTATTCAAATTCAGATTCTAGTTTACCCTAAATTCATTTCGAATTCTGAATCTACTCTTTTAATAAAATCCTAAATTTAATCTTTAAATGTAAAATGAAACAGATACTGAAAATTTCACTGAAATTTCTGCAATCAATGGGGAAGAGAATTCCTAATTTAAATTCAAATTTTTGAAAACTAACAAGTACCATTTAGTATCCGTTTCATTCTCTCGAAACAATGATCGATAGTTGGATGTCGGTCCAGTTGTTGGTAATGGTGGTGACGGTAAAATGGATGATTGTTCATCAAGAGTGAAAACCGGCTGCTGTTCTGCTGATTTACTGGTTGAATGATGGTGTGGTAGTGATGTTTGCAAAATTGGTGACGATAATTCGGAAACTTTTGGTTTTTGATCCGCCATAAGAGACATTTGGCTACTTCCAGAATGTCCAATTTTCAGTTTATTCATCAATTTGCTACTAATTTTACGAATTCCAGACCTTTAAATAGACACTGAATATGAATTTTCAATACTGACATGAAAACATTCAAATAAATCAGTTAAAGACTGAAAGCTAAGATCATGAAGGTCAATTTTAAAATTGGCCATAAGAGAAGTTTTCTGTTTCTTTAATTTACTTTCAGTTAGTACGACGAAATAAATTAGTGTTATCTTTTCAGGTCATGAATTATGCTAAATGGTTTGAATGAAAATATTCTGGAACTTTTTTTTTTCAAAATTTGAATGAAAATAATTCAATTTAATGTCCAATATGCTATAATCCAAAAAGCGTAAACGAAATAATTAATTAATTGAGATGATATTAGCTAATTTTACCATCACAATTATTCCAAATAAACTCACATGGTATTTTTTTTTCCGATTGCTGACGAATCATTTCATCGAGTATTTCGGAAAGTTTTTCAGACGGTAATTCAGCTGCATCAGCAAGCGTTTCAACATCCACCAATTGTTGATTAAAATAAAATCAATGCTAACTTTCTTTTTTCAATTTAGTTCAGATATTAATTTTTTTTCTTCAATTTAATTCAGCTTATTGGCTTAATTCAAATTTTGAAAAAACGATCGATTTTGCATATATTGAGATTCCACTGTCATTTTATTTTGAATACATATCCATTTATTAGGCGACAGAAAATATGCACTAATGAAGATATCGTTTTAATTTGTGCTCTCAGTTGTAAGAATCAAGTTAATACAAGAAATTTCCTGAAAGTCAAACTTACTTCTATCCATAATGGCTAGGTAAATATGTAAATATGCTATGGTTTAATTTGGGTAAGTATGTATGTTATCATTTAACTTAGTTACTTTAACTTAATTACTTAAGTTTGTTACAAATCATATTATGATCTAATTTATCGATCAACAATTCGTACTTTTCCCTGTCAATCGTTACATGTAACTTTCTTTCTAATATAACTTACGATATATACGAAGGTTTTTGCTATATAAACAAAATAGAAAATGAATTTTCCAATAATTAGGTAATTATCCAGTTAATTAGGTAAATAAGTAGTAATTGATTGTACAAATAATTACGTCATAATCAAAATAAGATCGTGACGAGGGCTGCTGATTCAATGTATCGTGTGGATTTTGCTTTACTAAATTCCGTATATTACGTCCATCCATATTCTATGTTATCAAATTGATCTTTATCTCCTTGAAATTGAAATTTTCAATCAACACTGATAAGCCGAAACTTATCAACATATTTACATTTTGTTTATTTCAACTGACTGATTAAATCAATCGATAAATTTATTTCAAAGTTATCACCTATCATTAAAAAATGATAACGCCGATTAATAGATTGAAAAGAAAATAAAAAGAAGCATAAATTGTTTTTGAACCGAATAAATAGCATTGTTGAAAAACTTGAACTAACCAAAGGGATATATTGTTTTGTAAATTCGAGAACTGAGCTATCAGTGAGGCAGAGGAAAGACTGATGATGATGAAATGATATGAATAGTTTTGCCTATTTCACTTCCTTCCAGCTAACAATTGAGCAAAGTTCATCAATTTTTGAACATTACAACAAAAAGCAAAGAATCTAAGCTTCTTTAAAATTTGAAAAGAAAAAGATAACTTTGTATTTAAATTGTTTACTTCAGCTTTCTTCCCTTATTAAATTTAAATATTTCAAATTTAACTGGATTATAATATGAATACAAAGAAAAGAAAACTAGTAATAACAGGGGAATGTAATTGAATCAACCTTTTTTCCTCCACTAAGTTTAAATATTGCAATTTTGAAATAAGCTTGTCTTTCAAATTCTTTACTTCAGCTTTTTTCCTCCATTAATTTTATGAACAATATCTTAACTTCGATCGTAATATGAATATAAAGAAAAAGCGAATACTAGCAAAGAAATATAATTATTTTAGGTCTTTTTCTTATTAGATTTAAATATTTCGGTTTCGAACTTTTAAATGTGTTTAAATTAGATTATAACATAAATAAAACGAAGGAAAAACGAGTAGTAGCAATGGAATAAAAAATGAACAAATATTGGAAATGATAAGTTTGTTAA